CAGCAAGAGCAGGAAGAGAGGACGCAGGAGGAGACGGGAGAGGGACACGCTGGGGAGCAGTGGAAGGACGAAGCGCCATCTGGTGAGTGCCTGGGACAGCAGGAGGACGCTGACGCGGGACACGACGACCAGTGTGAGCAGCACGAACAGGCGACGCTCGACGAGACTCAGGCGACGCAGGACGAGACTCAGGCTCACGACGCTCCGTAAGACCTCCAGTCGAACCAGTGTAAGGAGAAGGACCAGGGAGAGGGGAGGCAGACGGTAACTGTGACTGCGACTGGACAGACGGTGGACTCTCTAAGGAGGGAGGAGGACAAGGAGGAGGAGGCTGACCAAGAACCTGCTGAAGGAGCGGAACGAAGTACGGCCGCGGCCGCGCAGCGTCTCCAGAACCAGCAGAGACACCAGCGCCAGGGTCCTCAGCACCAGCAGCAGCTCCACCTCCAGGGTCCTCAGCACCAGCAGCAGCTCCAACTCCAGGGTCCGCAGCACCAGCAGCAGCTCCGACTCCAGGGTCCGCAGCACCAGCAGCAACTCCAACGCCCGGGTCCGCAGCACCAGCAGCAGCTCCAACGCCCGGGTCCTCAGCACCAGCAGCAGCTCCAACTCCAGGGTCCGCAGCACCAGCAGCACCTCCAGAAGAAGCAGCACCTCCAGCAGCTCCAGCAGCCCCAGCACCAGCAGCACCTCCAGTAGCTCCAGCAGCACCGCCAGCAGCAGAACCTCCAGCAGCTGGGTCCGCGACACTAGGAGCGCCACTGCGAAGACTGCAGCGCCGTGCGTACCACTCTCGGAGCCGCTGGGGAGAGGGCAGCTCCCGCCTAGGAGGGGAAGCACTAGCACCAGCTCCAGCAGTACTCCTGGCTCCAGAAGCACCTCTCTTGAGGCTGCAGTACTGTAAGTACCACTCACGCAGCTGCTGTGAGGAGAGAGCTCCTCCAGGTGTAGCACTCCCAGGCTCAGGACCTCCAGACTCAGCACCCCCAGACTCAGCACCCGCAGGCTCCGCACCCCCAGGCTCAGCACCCCCAGGCTCCGCACCCCCAGGCTCAGCACCCCCAGACTCCGCAACCCCAGGCTCCGCACGCCCAGACTCCGCAACCCCAGGCTCCGCACCCCCAGGCTCCGCACCCCCAGGCTCCGCACGCTCAGGCTCAGCACCCTCAGGCTCAGCACCCCTAGCAGGACGAGAGTCGACAGCTACCTCGACAGGCTCAACCGGGTCTACCTGGGACACACCTGAGGGAGCGGCACCATGAGGGGGGAGGGGGTCTACCACAGCAGCACCTGGCGCGAGGAAGAGAGGCGAGGGGAGAAGCGGGGCAGTGCGGTAGGGGAAGAGGCGGTAGTAGGGGACGGACTCGTCGAAAGTGACGTCCTGAGAAGGCAGGACACGGCGCGAGGTGGGGTGGTAAAACTGCCAACCAGACGCGTCCGGGACAAAGCCAAGGAAGACACAAGGAACAGCGCGGGAGGAGAGCTTGTCCGCGGACGTATCGCGAACAAAGGCTCGAGATCCCCAAACCCGAAAGCGTGACGCATCGCCAACCTCTCCCGTCCAACGCAGTGTCGGCGAAGTCTCCGGAACGGAGACACGGGGCCAGAGGTTGAGCTGATGCGCAGCGTATCGGACTGCAAACGGCCACAGAAAGTGGGGGGCAGCCGCATGGATCAAGGAGGTACGAGCGACCTCCATGACCAAGCCAATGCGGCGCTCAGCAACCCCATTCTGTTGTGGAGAGGCCGGAAGCGTGAACGACTGGCGGATGCCGTGCTCCGCACAGTAGTCTGCCAAGAGGTCGGAGGAGAACTCACCACCTCTGTCAGAGTGCAAGCGCAGGACAGGAAAGTCCGAGTGGAAACGCTCGCTGAGCTGGAGACGAGAAGCGCTGATCTAAGGGATCAAAACATCAGGGACCTCACCCTTGGTGCGCAAGGGGAAGACCGTGGTGTAGCGCGAGTAGTCGTCAACAACTATCAGGAAGTACCTCTCCTGACCCTGACCACGGACGCGGGCTGGGCCCCACACGTCCATGTGGAGCGTCTGCAAGGGAGCAGTCGTCGGGGGAAACGAGGAGGAGTGAGGAGCGGCGCGCTGCCGCCCCTCGACACAGGGAAGACAGGGAGGAGCAAGCGAGGGTGGGAGGGGAGGGAGAACCCTGGGAAGACCAGAGACAAGGTACCGTTTGTGCATGGCACGAAGGCGCTGAACGGACGGGTGACCAAGTCGGTGGTGCCAGAGGACGGTCTCGTGCGCCAGAGAGCGACACGAGCAGGGGGCCGACAGCTGACCTGACGCAGACGCAGACGCAGCTACCTGAGGGGACTCAGTGGTCAGTGTGTACAGGTCCGACCCCGGCTGCCGAGTGAAGGTAGCCAGGTGACGGCCCGTCCGAGCACACGTGCAGTGTGTCACGCGCTCGTAGGCAGGGGTGAACTGGTGAACACCCCCGTCCTGGAGCGCACAACCCGCCACCAAGTTCGTAGAGAACGAGGGGAGGTGGAGACCTGACAGTGTGCCCGACGGGACCGCAGGACAAGGAAGGACAGTGGAGGAGGTCGCAATGACCGGACCCCCAGAGGGGTCAGCGAGGGAGACAGCAACTGGCCGAGCAAGCGGCTCAAGGGCAGTGCGGTCACGAAAGAAACAGCGAGAAGCACCTGAGTCCAGAGTGAAGGTGTGCAGTGCCTCAGTCGACTCAGTACCAGGGGGCGCAGACTCACTAGCACCTAGAGCAGCAGCCTCACCAGCACCTGGGGTAGCAGACACGCGAGTACCGGGAGTGGTAGCCTCACCAGCACCTAGGGCAACAGACGCACTAGCACCTAGAGCGGCAGCCTCACTCACAGGACACGGCAGCTGCACCTGTCCACTACCAGAAGCTCCCGAACGACGCACTCCAGAGCGACTACCACTACGGCCACCCCGACAGCCCCAACTGGCGTACCACTCACGAAGCTGCTGGGGCGAAAGAAGACACGGCAGCTGCACCTGTCCACTACCAGAAGCTCCCGACCGACCCACTCCAGAGCGACTACCACTACGGCCACCCCGACAGCCCCAAGTAGCGTACCACGCACGAAGCTGCTGGGGCGAAAGAGGACACGGCAGCTGCACCTGTCCACTACCAGAAGCTCCCGACCGACCCACTCCAGAGCGACTACCACTACGGCCACCCCGACAGCCCCAACTAGCGTACCACTCACGAAGCTGCTGGGGCGTGAGGGACTCACGCGCACGGCCCTGGAGCTGCATCTGGCCACGCCAGGAGCAGCAGTAGCAGCAGTAGCGGCAGTAACAGCAGTAACAGCAGGAGCAGTAGCAGTGGGAGTGGAAAAGGCAGTAGCAGCAGTAGCAGCGGTAGCAGTGCTGGCAGGGCAATGCTCACCAGTGGTCGGCGCGGCAGGCGCAAGACGGTGGCGACAGCGGGGCCGCTACAACTGCAGGGCGGGGCCGGGCTGCAGCAGGGAGCTCCGCGGCAGCTGCTGCACGGCGAGGCCGGGCCGCGACGGCAGCTGCTCCAGGTGCCAGGGGCGGCTGCTGCAGTGGCGGCTGCTCCAGGGGCCAGGGGCGGCTGCTGCAGCGGTGGTTGCTCCAGGGGCCAGGGGCGGCTGCTGCAGGGGCGGCTGCTCCAGGGGCGAGGGGCGGCTCCTGCAGTGGCGGCTGCTCCAGTGGCCAGGGGCGGCTGCTGCAGGGGCGGCTGCTCTAGAGGCCAGGCGCGGATTAGGTCAGGGCGACGCGGCGAGCAGGGCGACGCGGCGGACAGGTGGCGACGCTGCGGGCAGGGCGACGCGGCGGGCAGGTGACGACGCCGCGGGCAGGGCGACGCGGCGAGCAGGTGATGACGCCGCGAGCAGGGCAACGCGGCGGGCAGGGCGACGCGGCGAGCAGGTGACGACGCAGCGAGCAGGGCGATGCCGCGAGCAGGTGGCGACGCCGCGGGCAGGGCGACGCGGCGAGCTGGTGACGACGCCGCGGGCAGGCGACGACGCCGCGGGCAGGCGACGACGCCGCGGGCAGGCGACGACGTCGCGGGCAGGGGCTACGTCGCGGGCAGGCGACGACGCCGCAGGCAGGCGACGACGCCGCGGGCAGGCGACGACGCCGCGGGCAGGCGACGACGCCGCGGGCAGGGGCTACGTCGCGGGCAGGCGACGACGCCGCGGGCAGGCGGTGACGCCGCGGGCAGGGCGACGCGGCGGGCGGCGAGAGCCTGCAGGGGCGGCGCACGGTCGGGCAGAGGCTGCGCGCGGGCCTGACGAGTCTGCAGGGGCGGCTCTCGGGCCTGACGGGCCTGCAGAGGCGGCTCGGGGGGGGCCTGACGGGTCTGCAGAGGCGGCTCGGGGGCCTGACGGACCTGCAGGGGCGGCTCGAGGGCGCACGAGGGCGCACGAGGGCGCACGAGGGCGCACGAGGGCGCACGAGGGCGCACGAGGGCGCACGAAGGCGCACGAGGGCGCACGAGGGCGCACGAAGGCGCACGAAGGCGCACTAGCAGAGAAAGGCGCACGAGGGCGCACGAGGGCGCACGAAGGCGCACTAGCAGAGAAAGGCGCACGAGGTCGCACGTAAGGTAGGGCGCACGAGGGCGCTTCTAGCGGAATAGTGGGCCCATAGTAGAAAGCGGTCCTAGGTAGCAACCTAGGCTCGTGATACCATGTTAGAATCTAGAATAGAACGAGAATGGATGAAACTAGGTAGGAGGGGGATACAAGTAGGAAACCCTAACAAAACTGTACCCCCTAAGGCTAAACCCACTATAGCCTACACAATATAAACATAAAATGTTTGACAGAGGGTGCGTTGGGACGAGGGTGCGTTGGGACGAGGGTGCGTTGGGACGAGGGCGCGTTGGGACGAGGGTGCGTTGGGACGAGGGTGCGTTGGGACGAGGGTGCGTTGGGACGAGGGTGCGTTGGGACGAGGGCGCGTTGGGACGAGGGTGCGTTGGGACGAGGGTGCGTTGGGACGAGGGTGCGTGGTGTAGCAGAGGCACTCACTCACGCATGCATGGTGGGGTTGTGGTGGGTGTGCGCTCACCCGGGCAATGGAGGTGGGCAGGGCGAGCAGCGTGAGGGCGACGAGAAAGGCACAGAGGGCGGGGCGCAGGTCGAGGCCCGCCCGCGCTGGCAGCAGCAGCCACAGCTGGGGGGGGGGGGCGGCGAGGGGCATAGGGGGGTGTGGCAAGGGAGGGGGTGTGATTGTGACACGTAAACGTGAAGGAGGTACAAGGATGGGTGGGGGGAAAGGGGGGTTGGGAGGCAGAGGGGGGTGTGCATGCATGGAGGGGGGGCAGCATCATACGCCATCGCCTGAGGGGCTCTCTCCCTCTGCCTTGCTCCATCCCACCCATTTTTCCCTCCGCCCTTTTCCCCCTTGTTCCTTCCGCCCTTCCCACCCTATTATCCTCAATCCAAACTCGCTCACTCCCACTCGTTAGCATCTGTTCTCACCTGCTTAACCCGCGGTGACAGGCTCCATGATGAACGACCCGATGGGTGCGGAGCTGCTGTTGACGATGCCGCTCATCACGCGCTCGCCCAGCGACTCACGCCCGCGCCACGCCTGCCATTCCCACCAACGCCGCTTCCCACCCGAACACGATGGCTCCGAACTAAACGAATCAGGCTCGGCAGGACCTTTGGTGGCAGCCCCCTCCGGCAGCGGAGTTGCGCCGACCTGATCGCCGGCGCCCGCTTGCGCAGCGGAAGAGGCCCGTGTGGCCAGGCATGGCTGGCGGCGGCGGCTTAGAGGCTCGGCGAAAGAATGGACGACGGGGGATGAGAGGGGGGAGTGCGAGCGGGAGCCGACGGAGCAGAGAGCTGCGCGAAGCAGATGGCGACGCGCGCGCACACGCATGGGCGCGAGGGCGGTCGCACGCGGGCTCGGCGGCGGGCTTAGGGAAGGGTTTACGGGCAGGCGTGGATGTGCGGCGAGCAGCGACGGACGGTGGAGCGGCTGGTGATGGCAGCAGCTTCCACGCGGCGGCGTGCATTAAGAGAGTGATGGAAATCGCAGGTGCTTCGTATGGAGGTATGTTTTAGCGAAAATACAAATGACGGTAGGGTAAATTTAAGGAATTTTCCCGAATTCCTTATCGGGGTTGACTGCTTCGCGTACAGCTCGATTTTTGGACTTCGTACGTTCGGCCGATTTCAACGCTGCCGAGGCTCCTCGCGTCGCCTTCGGCATTTCCCAATCGCCAAACCTGCACCCAACCTCGCTCGTCCGAGGTTCCCTCCTATCTAGTCTAGTCCCTACATTAGTCTGTGCCTTCATTGTATTCTCATATCAATTAATCACAGTCTCGTTATTCGTTTACCTGCGCACTCTCTTTTACAACTCATAACACCTGGTATCAGAGCTACTTTCCTAGTTCACCTCGCTTTTCTGAGGGTAGTTTGGTGGCACGGGTGTGGCTGGTTTAGTGACTACACGACGGTTGGCTGCAGGGATTGTTAATTCAATCCTGCCCGACTCCGATAGTTCGTGTTTTCACTTGCCTGAAGGCCACGGATACCTGATTGCCCACCAGACGTAGCGCTAGGCACATGGATCAGGACGCGGTTAACAGATTGATGGCGCAAGTGGCAGAGATGCAGGAGGGCATGAAATCGTTAATGGCGGAAGTGACAACACTGCGTGAAGAAAACGCCGAGCTGCGCCAGACGCGAGGTGAAGCGCGTCAGGTGTCGCCCAATGAAGAAGGCGAGGGCAACACTCAAGCGGTGAGCAACCCTTTTGCACCTCGACATTTTCTCTTCCTAGTGCAGCTTTTTCACCTCACCAAAATTTCTCGCCATCCATGGCTTCTCTAACTCCAACATGGTATTCAGAGCCTAGTCCCAGGCGTTTCCCTTTTATCCGCATCTCTTAGAAATTTTCTGATCCTTCGGCCATTTTCGCGCTACTTAGCTGGACGATTTTCTTATTCTTCTATTTTATCGTTTCCTTAAAGTCACACTTAACATCCTTGCGGTTTTCTTCATTTTAGTCACGCGGATGCTCTATTTCACTCAGTAGCGCGCCTCCCTACCGTCCGTTCGCTCTCCCGCACCTTCCCCCTTCGTCGCGCCTCCTCCTCCTCACGTTCCCGGCGATAGCGCACTGATTTTTGCTCGTAGCGCGCTCAGCCGCCCCCCCCTCCCCTCCGCCCCCTTCCCGTCTCGTCGCGCGCGCATTGCGCTGCCGCCGCCGCGCACGCTTGGCTTCGTCAAGCAACGCGCGCGCCTGCCTCCCCTGCGGCACACCCTGCCCTTTCCCAATCCGCCCTCCCCTCCCTCACCCTCCTCCTCCTTTCCTCTCTCCTTTGTGCATCCCTCCCTATCTCACCTCTTCCTCCTCCTCCTCCTTTCTCTCCTCATCTGCTGCAACTCGTACGTGCTTGTGGCGCGCCCTTCCCACAAATCCGCCCCTTCACCATCCTCCTCCTCTCCTCTCTCCCTCTAACTCCCCTTCTGCCCCTTTTCCTCCACCTCTTTTCTCTCCCCATCTGCTGCAGCTGTGGCTGATTGTGTTCTTTTGAAGTTATTGCTCCTCCACACTTTTCCTCCTCCTCAGTACCCTCCCCTCAACTGCTCAACTGCGAACTCCTTCACAACTATCCCTCCTCCTCTTATTTCTCCCCTGAGCAGCACAGCAGCAGACTACTCCGCCACTATCCCTCCTCCTCTAGTTTCTCCCCTCAGCGGCGCAGCAGCAGACTACTCCGCCACTATCCCTCCTCCTCTTGTTTCTCCCCTCAGCGGCGCAGCAACAGACTACTCCGCCACTATCCCTCCTCCTCTTGTTTCTCCCCTCAGCGGCTCAGCAGCAGACTACTCCGTCAATATCCCTCCTCTTGTTCCTCTCCTCAGCGACTCAGCAGCAGACTACTCCGTCAATATCCCTCCTCCTCTTGTTTCTCCCCTCAGCGGCTCAGCAGCAGACTCCTTCGCCCTTATTCCTCCGCCTCTTATACCTCTCCCCTCATCTGCTCTGCAGTTGTCTCCTCCTCCTTATGGCAAACTCTCTCGCCCTCCCCTCCCTCCCTCTGCTGGTCCTTCAGCTTGCGCCTGATGGCAGCGCAGTTAACTTCCCTAGTTGGCTAAATTGTCTTGAGCGCACGCTGTCTGGCATCTTTGTGAGTGGCTTTAACCTCTGGTTTGTCACTCAGCAGAGTGGTTCTGGCGCCATTCCTAAACCTGCCTCTGCACCTACTCTACCTCCTCTGACCCCTATGCTGATGGCCATATCACTGAAACTTAGTGGATTGCGGCCACGGCCCAAGCCACTGCTGCGGCTGCTCCTGACAATGCTGCAGCCAGTGACCTCGCTCGTGTTCTTGCTGAGTCCCTCGAGAGCACTCGCAAGCGCCTGAGCACCTCGCTGCCCCCTCTCCTCGCTCTGCCTTTACGCCCTCTGCTTCTGCTCCATCTCACTCTGACCTTCTTGCTGACTGGCATGTTGCCAACGCACGTGCCTGCCAGGTCATCCTTGCCTGCCTACCTCCAACCCTTCTCCCTAAGTGCTCGCACATCCGCTATGCCAAGGACCTTCTCGGCTATCTTACCAAGCGCTTCCAGTCGCAGACTCCTATCAGTGTCATTGCTTTCTTACGCGAGCTCACCTCTCTTCGCCTTGTTGACTTCACCACCATGGCAGACTACATCGCTCGTGTGCAGATGCTGTCCTCCCAACTCGCCTCTCAAAAGTTTGAACTTTCCGATCATGTGTGCGGTGCCCTCCTCCTCACAGGCCTCACTCCTGAATGCAGTGTTCGTGTCACTCTGTATGGTGAGCGCCCTGCCGACCTGTGGTCATTCTCTCGTGTCTCTGCCTTCCTCCTCCAGGCAGAGCTCAACCTCCGCAGCTGCCCTCCTACTGCCGCCGCTGTCACACCCTCTTCCGCCCCCCCTCCTCTCCCCACCTCCACTGCCGTTGCTGTTTCCTCTCGCCCTCGCAACACCTTTCCTCCTTGCACCTACATCATTCGCCAGGGGCCCCGCAAGGGTCAACCCTGCGGTCGCACCAATCATCCCGCCTCCTCCTACTTCCAGAAGCTCACCGATGACTGGTTCCTGGCTGGCAACACTGGTCACCCTCCCAACTGGCTTCAACTCTCTCGTTAGCGTCGCCAGTCTTCTGCCCAAGCGGTACTTGTGGTACCAGTGCTCAAACCTCTGCTCTCAGTGTGACTATGCCTAGTCAGGATAGCATTCTGGGGGCTTCTCCCCTTATGGACCCTCGTTTTGCCATGATGTTTGCTCCTTCTGTTAATGGCAATGATTCTCAGTATCTTCGTCCCATAGCTGCTGCTCTTTCTCCCACTCTTCTCTATGTCCACACCGCTGCCATTTCCACCCCTCTGTCCTACTCCGAGGCTGTGTCGGGCTTTCATGCCACTGAGTGGATGGCTGCCATCATTGCTGAGTGTGAGGCATTCACCAGAACTAATTCATACATTGACTCTGTCCCCCCCCCTAGCGCCACCATTGTCAAAGGCAAATGGGTCTTCCGTGTCAAGCAGCTGCCCGGCGAACTTCCTGTCTTCAAGGCCCGCTACTGTGCCAAGGGGTTCACTCAGTGTGAAGGCATTGATTACTTTGCCACTTACTCCCCCACAGCCCGTCTCCCCACCCTTCGCCTCCTTCTTGACTTAGGTGCTCGGTGAAATTGGGAGATCCATTCCATGGACGTTTCCAATGCTTTCCTCCAGGGCGAGCTGCATGAGCGCATATTCCTTGTGCGCCCAGCTGGCTTTCCTCGCCCTTTCCCTCCGGGCACGGTTTGGGAATTGAAACGACCTGTGTATGGCCTTAAACAGGCCCCATGCGAGTGGCACGCCAAGATAGCCTCCACCCTTCACTCTCTTGGCTTCTCTACCTCCACCTCCGACCCCAGTCTCTTCATTCGCACATCCCCCCACAGGCTTTACATCCTTGCCTATGTGGACGATTTGGTGCTGCTTGCTGAGGGCTCCGCCGATCTTGCAGCTGTCAAGAAAGCCCTGTAGGTGCGTCTCATGTGCAAGGACCTTGGCGAGCTTCGTCACTACCTCGGCATGGAGATCCGTCGTAATCATGCTGCCCGCACCATCTTTCAAGGACTATCTTGTCAAGCAGGGTGTTTCTCACGCCACCCAGCTTTGAGGGGGGGACGTGTGAGAGTACGACGGCTTATGCTGGCTTTGCTAGCTTGCCTAGACTTTATTATGCTATATCTAGCTTGGGATTTATTTATCATGCATAGATGTGCTTGATTTCCTAGGTTAGGTGCATTCCTATACTTTATTATAGTTATAGCACCGAACCAGGTTACGTGTACCGAACTCAAGCCTATTCGGTTTCCACCGAATTGCTTTCTACTGAGTTTGGGAAGGTTCTGTTCGGGACGCTTCGCGACCCTCAGAACATTCACGTAACACCTGGGTTACCTGCCTTGTGTCGAGCCTACATATAGCCTCGTGTTGTACCCAGGGCCCAGTTCGGTAGGCATTATGGCCATTTTCGCCATTATGGGCATTTTTAATGGGCCCCCAAAAAATGGCGCTTGGGCATTTCTAGAAACAACTTAGAAACTGGACTGTAGCTGCAGTGCACCTTCGGAAAAATGGTATGAGTGTTCGGTTGGCATTAATTGGGTGTAGATTGATGGCATCAATCGAGCTTCCGGGTTTCGCAGAAGGTGTTCGAAAGTTGCCTTGATGGATCGCGTCCTCATGTGATTGGCTGGCATATTTGACCAGTCAATTTTGATTGCCCCGAATCACTGATACCCCGCATGGTGCGGGGCCTCGAAGCCGCATGGTGCGGCGGATCAGAAAATGGGCACTTTGCCAGAGAAACTGGGTTCGTGGAAGATTCGGGCAGTTGAAAACG